CTGTCTCTCTCTTTCCACTCCTTGTACAAACACTCACGCACTCTCTGCCTCTCTCTTTCACACACAAACACTCACACTCCTGATCACAGACATTCTCTGTCTCTCTCTTTCCACGCATACACAAACACTCACACTCCACGCACACACTGACTCTCTCTTTCACACACAAACACTCGCACACACATGGTCTCACTCTTTCACACGCACAAACACTCACACTCCACACACACTGACTCTCTTTTACACACAAACACTCACACACGCTCTGTTGCTCTCTTTCACACATACAAACACTCACGCGCGCACACACACACAAACACACACACACACACACACACACACACACACACACACTCTCTCTCTTTTACACGCACAAACACTCACGCACACACACACACTGTCTCTCTCTTTCACACGCACAAACACTCACACTGATGATCACACGTATACTCAGACTGAGAGAGAAGAATGATCATCTACGCGTCGATAAATGTCAAGTTCTTTTGGACATAGAATATCGACTCTATTTACGACAATACTTACGGCAGAAGTCACAGTACTTGCGACAGTTTTCATGGGCCCAGTCAGGGAACTCAATGCATTTATCTAGCCCGTACTCTGGACAGTTTGGCTCAACATCTTCACAGTGGGAGGTGCAGTAGTGTTTTGTGCTGGAACAGTCAGTGAACAGTATGTTTGTTAACGCCGCACCCAGCAATATTCCAGCTATATGACAGCGGTCTATACAAAATCGAGGCTGGACATGACAATCCAGTGATAAACATCATGAGCATCGATCTATGTAATTTGGATACGATGACACGTGTAAACTATGTCAGCGAGCCTCACAACCGATCCCGTTAGTCCCCGTTTACGACAAGCATGAGTTGCTGAATACCAATTCTAACCCGGATCTTCACGGGTCCACAGAACACTGAAGCTATTGATGAACATCGTCCCATTCGTAATGAATGTGGAAAATAATAGACATGATGCCGACATGTCAGGATATATTTTGGTACTGGTCACGAAGTAGTCTGTAGGATACTGGAAACGTATTAATGCTTTATATGATGTAGATATATCCACAGGCTTTATAACTCCTTTGGTGATCACTTAGATTGTTGTTTTGATTAATGACATATACATCGTAACTGCGTTGACATTCAATACAATTCTTGTCACTATCTGTATCTGAATACAAAATGTCATCAGAGAACATGTTAACCTATCGTTGTGCAATCAGATTGATAATTTATCGTCGGATCATAGGTTCTCAGACGTCATACGTTTTCGGACGGCAGTGCTCACTCGGGCCATAACGAAGTCTGTTACGTTACACAGACTTTGTAAATTCTTCAAAGGATGGCTTGTGAATGGGACAAATTTATCCTTTACAAGCTAGTAATATGTTTTACACTTTTCAGGCGATAATCAAGACAACAAAACCCATACTACGAGGCTACATACAGAGGAAACACACAGATTTACGTAAGACTTACGTTTGCATATTCCACAGAATGTTGGACAGTTGTCCTTGGCCCAATCGCGATAATCTTTACAGACGCCGCTAGCGTACTTTTAACACTCACTCACACAAACACTCACGTACACAGACTCTGTCTCTCTTTCACACAAACAAACACTCACACACACACACTGCCTCCCTCTCTTTCACACACACAAACACTTACACTCACAACACACACTGTCTCTCTCACTCATACAAACACTCACGCACTCTCTGCCTGCCTCTCTTTCACACACAAACCTCACACTCCTGATCACAGACATTCTCTCTGTCTCTCTCTTTCATGCATACACAAACACTCACACTCCACGCACACACACTGACTCTCTCTTTCACACACAAACACTCGCACACACATGGTCTCTCTCTTTCACATGCACAAACACTCACTCACACACACACACACTGACTCTCTTTTACACACAAACACTCACACACGCTCTGTTGCTCTCTTTCACACACACAAACACTCCACGCACACACACTGTCTCTCTCTTTCACACGCATAAACACTAACACTGATGATCACACGTATACTCAGACTGAGAGAGAAGAATGATCATCTACGCGTCGATAAATGTCAAGTTCTTTTGGACACAGAATATCGCCTCTATTTACGACAATACTTACGGCAGAAGCCACAGTACTTGCGACAGTTTTCATGGGCCCAGTCAGGGAACCTCTTGCACTCATCTAGCCCGTACTCTGGACAGTTTGGTTCAGCATCTTCACAGGGGAGGTGCAGTAGTGTTTTGTGCTGGAACAGTCAGTGAACAGTATGTTTGTTAACGCCGCACCCAGCAATATTCCAGCTATATGACAGCGGTCTATACAAAATCGAGGCTGACATGACAATCCAGTGATAAACATCATGAGCATCGATCTATGTAATTTGGATACGATGACATGTGTAAACTATGTCAGCGAGCCTCACAACCGATCCCGTTAGTCCCCGTTTACGACAAGCATGAGTTGCTGAATACCAATTCTAACCCGGATCTTCACGGGTCCACAGAACACTGAAGCTATTGATGAACATCGTCCCATTCGTAATGAATGTGGAAAATAATAGACATGATGCCGACATGTCAGGATATATTTTGGTACTGGTCACGAAGTAGTCTGTAGGATAATGGAAACGTATTAATGCTTTATATGATGTAGATATATCCACAGGCTTTATAACTCCTTTGGTGACCACTTAGATTGTTGTTTTGATTAATGGCATATACATCGTAACTGCGTTGACATTCAATACAATTCTTGTCACTATCTGTATCTGAATACAAAATGTCATCAGAGAACATGTTAACCTATCGTTGTGCAATCAGATTGATAATTTATCGTCGGATCATAGGTTCTCAGACGTCATACGTTTTCGGACGGCAGTGCTCACTCGGGCCATAACGAAGTCTGTTACGTTACACAGACTTTGTAAATTCTTCAAGGATGGCTTGTGAATAGGACAAATTTATCCTTTACAAGCTAGTAATATACTGAGTCAAAAAAGAAACTTCACATTCTCTCTTCAGGGCACTTTAAAAGAACGAAGAGATGGTAAGATGGTTAAATTGTTATTATTTCATTGCTGAGATCTGTGTGATGTACTCGATACACTGACAGTGCCATAATCAGTTCCATTAGGCTACACTGCCGTTCCAAAACATGGGTATACAGAATGGCAAGTCACAAGAATAAAAATGCGTAATTTCTCAGTTCAATATCGTGTATGGCCGCCCCGCGCATTCACCACTGCCAAACACCGTCTCCTCATCGACTGCCTGATGCTTGTGAACACGTGGTTGGGGATTCTGCGCCATTGCTCTTGCAAGGCAGCGCCAAGTTCCTGCAAATTCTGAGGTTGGTTCCTAAGACCACGAAGCCTTCTCCCAAGTGCATCCCAAACGTGCTCTATTGGATTAAGGTCAGGGGACCTCGATGGCCAGTCCATGACGTTGATTCCAGCGTTTTGAAGGAAATTTCGTGTCAACATCGCGGTATGCGGCCGAGCATTATCATGCTGGAACTGTAGACCTGGGCCATGAGCCGCCATGAAAGGAACGAGTTCGGGGTGAGCACCTGGTCGCGGTAAGCAGCAGCTTTGAGGTTTCCACGGATGACCAGAAGTCGGGAACGGTTGTTCCCACAGAAAGCACCCCCACCATGCAACTTCCGCCCCCGAATCTGTCGACTTCCTGTACACAACATTGGGCATACCGTTCACTACGTCGTCTCCAGACTCTATGCCTGCCGTCCGCGAATCTGAGGGTAAACCTGGATTCATCGCTAAAGACGACTCGATTCCAGTCTCTCTGGGTCCATCGGAGGTGACGTTGGGCCTACAGCAGACGTTGACGTTGATGAAACGGCGTCAATATTGGCCAACGATATGGACGTCGAGAATGGAGATTGGCAGCCAGCAACCGATTTCGAATGATCTGTGAGGACAGTCGACCTCTAAACATCTCAGCCCTTGTTCGTGTACCCGGCAGAAACCTGTCACATAGGTGACGTAGGACGATTTGACGGTCTTCTGCTCGTGACGTCACACGTGGACGACCCGACCTTGGGCGATCAGAAGTGGTGCCAGTTTGTTGTAGACGACCTCGCAAGTCATACACAGTACGACGGCTGCATCCCATTGCTCTTGCGACGTTAATAACTGATCTTCACGCTTGCAACATCCCAACGGAACGTTCACGTTGCACATTTGACAATCGTGGCATTTCAAGGTACCATTAGAACTGTGGTTTAAAAGTGTTTTTTCAATTCTTGAGGCCAATGCAAACACGTGCACATGAAGAAAACTTCGATGCGAAGATCACGTGATCGACTGCACATGCAAAACCTGATTTGGCACTAACGTCATTTGCACGACGAATGGATGGGTTTGAGTGGGTTTTGCTAATGTTTTTCTAGAGTCGAAAGATAGGGGTCCCATTTCGGATAGATAGATGTATCATCAGAGAAAAATTATTCATTATTTTTCAAATTACATTTTGTGAAGTTTCTTTTTTGACTCAGTATATGTTTTACACTTTTTCAGGCGATAATCGAGACAACAAAAACCCATACTACGAGGCTACATACAGAAGAAACACACAGATTTACGTAAGACTTACGTTTGCATATTCCACAGAATGCTGGACAGTTGTCCTTGGCCCTATCGGCATAATCTTTACAGACGCCGCTAGCGTACATTAACACTCACTCACACAAACACTCACACTCACGTACACACACTCTGTCTCTCTCTTCACACACACAATCACTGCCACATGCTCTGTTGCTCTCTTTCACACACACAAACACTTACACTCACAAACACACTGTCTCTCTCTTTCACTCATACAAACACTCACACACTCTCTGCCACTCTCTTTCACACACAAACACTCACCCTCATGATCACAGACATTCTCTCTGTCTCTATCTTTCATGCATACACAAACACTCACACTCACGCACACACACTGACTCTCTCTTTCACACACCAGCACTCGCACACGCATTGTCTCTCTTTCACACGCACAAACACTCACACTCACACACGCTGACTCTTTTTACATACAAACACTCACACACGCTCTGTTGCTCTCTTTTCACACACACAAACACTCACGCACAAACACACACACGCACACTGTCTCTCTCTTTCACACGCACAAACACTCACACTGATGATCACACGTATACTCAGACTGAGAGAGAAGAATGATCATCTACGCGTCGATAAATGTCAAGTTCTTTTGGACATAGAATATCGCCTCTATTTACGACAATACTTACGGCAGAAGCCACAGTACTTGCGGCAGTTTCCATGGGCCCAGTCAGGGAACTCAATGCATTTATCTAGCCCGTACTCTGGACAGTTTGGCTCAACATCTTCACAGGGGGGAGGTGCAGCAGTGTTTTGTGCTGGAACAGTCAGTGAACAGTATGTTTGTTAACGCCGCACCCAGCAATATTCCAGCTATATGACAGCGGTCTATACAAAATCGAGGCTGGACATGACAATCCAGTGATAAACATCATGAGCATCGATCTATGTAATTTGGATACGATGACATGTGTAAACTATGTCAGCGAGCCTCACAACCGATCCCGTTAGTCCCCGTTTACGACAAGCATGAGTTGCTGAATACCAATTCTAACCCGGATCTTCACGGGTCCACAGAACACTGAAGCTATTGATGAACATCGTCCCATTCGTAATGAATGTGGAAAATAATAGACATGATGCCGACATGTCAGGATATATTTTGGTACTGGTCACGAAGTAGTCTGTAGGATACTGGAAACGTATTTATGCTTTATATGATGTAGATATATCCACAGGCTTTATAACTCCTTTGGTGACCACTTAGATTGTTGTTTTGATTAATGGCATATACATCGTAACTGCGTTGACATTCAATACAATTCTTGTCTCTATCAGTATCTGAATACAAAATGTCATCAGAGAACATGTTAACCTATCGTTGTGCAATCAGATTGATAATTTATCGTCGGATCATAGGTTCTCAGACGTCATACGTTTTCGGACGGCAGTGCTCACTCGGGCCATAACGAAGTCTGTTACGTTTCACAGACTTTGTAAATTCTTCAAGGATGGCTTGTGAATAGAACAAATTTATCCTTACAAGCTAGTAATATGTTTGACTCTTTTTCAGGCGATAATCGAGACAACAAAAACCCATACTACGAGGCTACATACAGAGGAAACACACAGATTTACGTAAGACTTACGTTTGCATATTCCACAGAATGCTGGACAGTTGTACTTGGCCCAATCGGCATAATCTTTTACACACGCTGCTAGCGTACTCTGGGCAGTCAACTTTGTCCACGCATGTATCTACTCAATAGAACACACATAGACGTTCATTATTACATCACGTCATTGCAGAAACCCAATAAAAGTATTTGAAGTGTGCATTAAACTATCATTAAAACATTGACACAATTCACTATTTGTTACGAGTCCACAGAACACTGAAGCTATTGATGAACATCGTCCCATTCGTAATGAATGTGGAAAATGATAGACATGATGCCGACATGTCAGGATATATTTTGGCACTGGTCACGAAGTAGTCTGTAGGATACTGGAAACGTATTAATGCTTTATATGATGTAGATATATCCACAGGCTTTACATCTCCTTTGGTGACCACTAAGATTGTTGTTTTGATTAATGGCATATACATCGTAACTGCGTTGACATTCAATACAATTCTTGTCTCTATCTGTATCTGAATACAAAATGTCATCAGAGAACATGTTAACCTATCGTTGTGCAATCACATTGACGTCATACGTTTTCGGACGGCAGTGCTCACTCGAGCCGTAATGATGTCTGTTACGTCACACAGACATTGAAAATTCTTCCAAAGGATGGCTTGTGTATAGGACAAATTTGTCCTTTATAAGCTAGAAATATGTTTTACACTTTTCCAGGCGATAATCGAGATAACAACGGATGTTCTTCAGTGCCCTACAACGACTTATGTTTGCATATTCCAAAAAATGCTGGACAGTTGTCCTTGCATATAGCTGTATATGGCTTGCTTGCCTTTGACGTCTTAAATGTAATCGGGGCGGTGGGGGTAGCAGAGTGGCTAAACCGTTTGCTCGTTACACTGAAACCCACATGGGTACAAAGTGTGAAGGCCATTTCAACTGTCCCCCGCCGTGATATTGCTGGAATGTTGGTAAAACCGGCGTAAAACTAAACATACTTACTCACTTAAATGTCATCATTCTAATCGGATCTCTTGGCCTTAATTTGGAAACATGAAAATATTTAAAGATTTAGCTATAACCTAAATGGTGATAAAAAACACATTTGACTTGTATAAATTTCAGAAATATTAAATTATAGTTTCTAACCTCCAAATGTTTCCCGAACCACTTTTCCCCGTACTGCTGACGCCTGGGTGGCGACCATGAGAGCCAGGATCAAACAAAGGCCCCTGTTCATGATGACTTTCTGATGCACTCTGTCATTTCGCCACAGCTGTCGCGCTTTTATAGGAAAAGGTCACGTGACACCTGCATTACTTTCTGGTTCCAGATTGTTACCAATATTACTTAATTGAGTGAAACGAAAGGGAGATAACTCATGATCAGTAAAATGGACCTATTGATAGTTTACATTTTTGTAGGCATTTAGATATTCCAAATATCTTTGACAAACATGTTGGGTAATAGTCTATACTATTAAAAGTTGAATTATGATTTTCTTTTCATTAAAACCACTGAAAAGGGAGACTAATGCAAAATGGAAAAATATGTTTTGTAACTATAATCGTGTTCTTTTTCTTATCGCTACAGTTATCTCACCATCTCCCACACAGAGGTCTAAGGTCGGCTCACTGTCTCGCAGGTAACAGATAAAGGTGCTGACTTTTGCACAACTGTTTCTAAACGGTTATTATTATGTCTGTATAAAGATTCAACTCAGTATATACATTAATGAAGGAACACATTTTCTGAATGATTTATTAACATTTTGCTTCTTGATGTGTAGATTGAATTTTGTGTGGAGATATTCATTGCACGTTCAACGGAAATGTCATACCCCCACAAATGTGGAAACATTTTTTTACTGGTAACATGTCACACTCTCTCCTTTCAGACTGGATTGAATATTCAGTACCATAATAGTCATGGCACGTTGTAAATTGTCAGAGGCTACAAGGTGGCAAATTATTGGCAGAAATGCAGGAATGTCCCTCGCACAAATCGGACATCAAGTTGGGCGCAATCCTTCCATCATTTCAACACTTTTGAACGAACACAGGGCTACCTATAATGTTAAAGACCTTCTAAGAACTGGCAGACCCCGTAAGACGTATTGGCTGGAACATGGCGGCGGGTTCATTTTTCCGATGAGAGACGTTTCTTGTTGCATATGATAGATAGCCGTCCATGTGTCTGGAGACAAAGGACTACAGCTATGATTCCCAACAATGTCCAGAAATACGGTTCCCTTTTGGGGGAGGGTCAATCATAGTATGGTAATGCATTTCCTTGGGTTGGAAGATGGACCTCATTACCATTCGCTATATCCTTAATAGGAATTGGTATCAACAGTAGATCCTTGAGAGAGGTGTTGCCCTACATTCTGATAACCATCCTCTAGCTACAAGACCCATCTTTCTGGATGATAATGCCAGACCATGAGTCCAAATCTCAATCACATTGAGCATCTGTGGGACATTTCAGACCGCCGTGTTCGACAGAGAGATCCTCAAGTCCGCACAATCAATCAACTGACTGCTGCTTTGCATGAGGAATGGAACATGAGTCTTCAGAATCAAATCCTGTGATTGATCCAAGGAAAGAGAGTATGTTGAGTACGCTGTTCGTGTGCAGGTAGGTTACACAAGGTATTGATTGAAAGTCAGTATTTGAACTTGCAAGTCATTATTCTTCAATTACGTGATCAAGATGTATGCGTGGTACTGAGAATTAAGTCTGTGTGAGAAAAGTGAAATTCGTAATGTTTCTGCATGAAATGACATCATTCTCCAAACCTGTACCATCAACCTGTACGAGTTTGATGAAGCTACCATGTGTAGTTTGGAAGATCTGCTCCGTACAAGATGACATCCTCATAGTCATAGCCTAAGACATGTTTCCATGGAAACAGAAAAAAAAATTCATATCTGGATTTAACCTCTATAAGGCACATTTATCAATCATGGTTGACATGTGTACCGTCATTGGTTAAGCTATCACGAAAAGTTTAGGAGATATGCCTCGTTTCTATATATGCTTCGAACTCGTTTCTATATCCCCCGCAACTTCGTTTTTGCAGGGGATAACAAAACTATCTTCTAATGCGTCAAATCCTTCATTCAACTGTTTTTTAATCCTCTTTATGGGGATCTGTACAAGACTTCTCTTGTTCCTCCTCTTGAACTCAGAATTGAGCCATTCATTTCTGCTGACGGCATTGAGATGGAAAATATATCTGCTTTCCGTCTTCTTTCTTCTCCTCCTTGGCATTGTTTGAGGCCAGAAGTTGACCTAACACTGACAAAGTTTACAAAATCAGAACCTAATGAATTACAATACCAATTAATCAATTAAAAAGTAAATATACTACATACAAATCCTTTTTTACAGATGGGTCCAAGGATGGTCGTGCAGTGACTGGTGCCACGGTTACTGGATCCAGAACAATATCTTCAGGAATACCAGATCACAGCTCAATTTTCACAGCCGAAGCGCACGTCATATTAACAGCCTTAAAATATATTAAAAAACACCCTAAATATAAACAGTATATCATCTTTTCAGAGTCTCTCGTGCCTTTAGGCTATTAAAAATGTTTCTTGCAAACATCCACTTTTAATTGAAATTATTGAAATGTATAATCTTGCTACTGGCCAATGCGACATCGTCGTTTGTTGGTTACCCAGCCACGTTGGCATTTCTGGGAACATACTGGCCGATCTTGCTGCTAAGGCAGCACTCAACAAATCTGTGACACCACTTCTTAGCCCATACTCTTATTATACTCGCTATTATACATTAGATCTTATATCCGTGATATGATGCAAAAGAAGTGGGACACCCAGGTAGGTATAAATAATTTACATGAAATACAAGAACCCTATATCGGTTACACCTATTTGGGCTGTCAGTCCACATTTGAAGAGGCCATCTTGCGACGATGTCGCATTGGCCATAGCAGGTATACACATGAATGTTTGTTAAAAGATGAGGATCCTCCATTTTGCATCCCTTATGATGAGGGAATCACGGTCAACCATATGCTGCTTGAGTGTATTGATTTTTCCATCACAGGGGAAAGATATATCAGTGCAAAACGGAAATCGTATTTAGTGTTCACACAAACAAAAGAACCTAAAATGGTACCATTAAGATGCCCCCAATTCAGTATTGTGTGTGGCCTCCATATGGGTCCCGATGAAAGCGTTGCATCATCTGCACATGGAATGAAATAGCAGGTTGATGAAGGACAGGGGCATTTGGGTCCATACTGTGCGAAATGCCTTATCGATTCCAGCCGCAGTTGTCGGCCTTAGTTGGTCTTAGTCTTAGAGGTCATTCAGTCTTCTTTGAATCTCGTTACACAGGTGTTCTATTGGATTTAAATCCGGACTGAGTGCAAGCTATTGTAGGGTTTGGATGCCATGTTGTCTTAGGAAGTCCAATGTTGCTCTGGTAGTGTGGGCACCAGCATTGTCTTGCTGGAAAGTGTGATTTCTGTAACGTCCAAAATGTGGTACAACGTGGAGTCTCATGACCTGGTCAATAAAGCGAGCAGCTGTAACGTCATTTCCTCATCCTGGACCAAGATTCTGGAACACCACAGTGTCAACTAACTGGTTCAGACCGATTGCACCCCACGCCATGATGCTTGGACCACCCCATGAATCCCTTTTAAAAAACACACTCAATGGAAAACAGTTCCACATGCCTTCACCATACTCTCACTCTGCCATCGACTGTCGAAACACAATATTGGCTTTCAGGAGATAATTGGCTTTCACAGTTCTCCACTGTCGATAACGCTCATTTCGATGCTAAGTTGCCCATTGCAGTCGGATTTAGTGGTGATGAGCGGTGAGGACATGACTATGATATGGTCTGTGACAGCAGAGGCTTCTTCCGCGCAAACGCTAACGCACTGTATCGTCACTAATAGGTCTGTTGTGAGGTGAGGTGAGGTGAGGTGAAATTGGGTTTAACATTGTACTTGAGAATATTTCGTTCATATGACGACGTGCATGCGTGTGTATGTGTATGTGTGGCTGCTTGTACTAGCCCAGACTGAAGCTGGTTGTATAGTTTAGCCCACTGAGATACCATGCCGCAGTGAAGTATGAATACCCCACTAAGACACATTATACTGACTCCGAGCCGACCAGTCCTTGTTGTACCCATTAATGCCGAGCCCCAGGCAGGGACCAACAAGTACCATATTTTAACGTATTTTGGTATGACGCGGTCGGGGATCGAACCCGCGACCTTCCGCGATCCGGGCGGACGCTTTAACCACTACACCGCGGAGGCGGTCGGGTCTGTTGTGAGTCCCAATGATCTGGCATGCTGTTTCCGTCGCTCTGGGGAAGCGATCTTGCAGATGTTTGCGCACCATCTGTCTGCTTGACGTTGTGATGCTACTGAAGGTCGCCGCCCACTGAGCAGACGGTTTTGGATGATGTTAGTGACCTGATACAACTCCTGCAGTCGGTACATTTTCCCAAAACTTGGTTCCTCTGATCTCAAGTAAGTCTAGGGCATCGTGATTGTGTCAAAACAAAATGATTTCAGGCGAGTTTGCGACTCGCTCTCATTGATAGGGTTGTCACGAATGCACGTGCATTTTCATTTTCATTTTCACGAATGTCATACGGAACCTTTTACCATGTCTGTCATTTTCAGTGCGTTTGGTCGATATGCTTTTCATAAAACACACTGATGTTGGTAACAACTGTTAATTTGAATTGAAAAACATGTTAACAAAGCAGTACAATCTAATAAAAACACCACTGTGTAAGAACACAATTTTGCATTTGGGTTTGAAAGGCGACGTTTCTTTTGTGGTTCAGTGTAGATTTATATTTTATTATTGGTAGTATTTTTGTGTTTTTGATTTATGGCTAAATGTTCCTACAATAGCCAACGGCTGAAGGGATGGTGTAAATCCAGCTAGGGTCCATGCAGGTAGCAAAGGCACTGATGGTCCATAGTATGGTGATCTACCTACATTTGTTGGCGATCTACACAGCCGCACAACATTTCGTCCATTACATGACATGCAGAATTAAAACAAATTCCACATACAATTTTAATTTGGTTAAAAATATGTGTTTTGGTTAAACAACACGATACGATGCATTACACATCCAATGACTCAACAGTAAAAGCTGAATATTTGAAATATTGCTGAGTGTGGCGTTGAAAAACAACCCAACAAACAAAACTTCTCTATGACTTGTACTTACACGTATGTA